CTTTTTCTTTGGTGATGTCTTTAAAAAATGGCATTATAGAATTAGCATTGAAAAAGCTAATGAAATCTATTCTTTTTCTTTTAGAATAATTCAGTGAAGATAGTAATAATTATCATATCACATGTCTGTTATGGCAAATTGCACTGAAATTTACTCTATGCATGGACCAAATAAACCTTCACTTACTTATTCCTGAAAATGTTCTTTGCCAACAAAAACATTTTCCATCTGCCACATAATCCAAATTTTTAAAGGCTTTTCAGTTTAATGTAGATATTTGCAATTATAATTTTAATCCAAGACATGCCAATGGTAGTCTTTGCAAAAAAAAAAAAAAAAGGAAGACTGATAGGCTGGACTGAACTTTAGCTGACAGCATTTGGGCACAAATTTGTGACTAGAGAAAGACCTAAAAAGTCACTGTATGTCATTGTAAAAAGTACAGGAACAAGTTTCTATAGTCATTATTCAACCAGACCTCACCTGGAGTACTGTGTCCAGCTATGGAGTCCTCAACACAAGGAACAGGTCCAGCGGAGGACCATGAAGATGATCAGGGGGATGGAGCACCTCTCCTGTGAGCACAGGCTGAGAGAGCTGGGGTCATTCAGCCTGGAGAAGAGAAGGCTCCAGGGAGACCTTAGAGCAGCCATCCAGTATCTGAAAGGAGCTACAGGAGAGATGGGGAGGGACTCTTTTTCAGGGATTGGAGCAATAGGACGAGGGGGAACAGTTTTAAATTGATAGAGGCTAGAGTTAGACTAGAAATTTGGAAGCAATTCTTTACTGTGAGGGTGGTGAGACCCTGGAACAGGTTGCCCAGAGAAGCTGTGGCTGCCCCATCCCTGGAGGGGTTCAAGGCCAGGCTGGATGGGGCTTGGAGCAACCTGGTCTGGTGGGAGGTGTCCCTGCCCAGGGCAGGGGGGTTGGAACTCAATGATCTTTAAGGTCCCTTCCAACGTCAATCACTCTATGATTCTATGATTATTCATTCTTCACAAAACTTACCGAAGTTTCCTATGAAATAACACTCTGTTTATCTGTGTTTATGCCAGATTTTGATTAGGAATCTTGGGTACTACTGCAATATAAATAATTAATAATTAGAATTATGCTAATAGTAGAAGGTTTGAATGCACAGGGAAGGCAACTTTGATATTCAATTTAATGTTGATCTGATTAGCAATCATGCTTTCTGGAAACAACAGTCCAATGATAATTAAAATCAATATTGTTCTTTTTTGCAAAAGAATTTCTGATTTTTCATTATTCTTGCCGTCATTTGGAAAATAACTCTCAAAGTACATGTTCCTTATAAGGCTGGTATGGCAGCTTCATGCCGGATGAGCAATGAATTTATGATGTCACTACAGACTGGCAAAAAGTGCCTATTTTTATTTATTATTTAACTTACTCTTCAATTGATACTTACAACCAAAATATTTGTTTGTGTAATTTGATTTGGCAGTTGCATACAGTACAGGTTATATAAGGAAACAGAAAGTTAGAATGTTGCCAGTTTGGTAAACGCTTCTCATGAGAAGTTTCAAAACCTTAATAAGGTAATAATGTCAGACATACGAAACACTGCTAAAAGAAAAACCACAAAATTGAAACATTGGGCTATAGCAACAGACAAACTACATGTGGTAATAAATAAAAGAATCAGTGCAGAGTTTTTCTCTGTTGAGAATTCCTACAGAGAAAAAAGGTCTGCAGTTATTGACAAGGATTAAATATTTATTTAAAACAGTGTCGTGGAATCAGTCTCTTTTTAAATTCTCCTAAAACCGCTGAGTACAGTGAGCTACTAAAAAATTGTTACAGTGCATTTTAGTTTGCTTCAGAGAAGACATTCATTCTGCTAGAGAATTTATTTCTTTGCTATTATATTGTAGCTATGTTTTCGGCCAACCTGCTCATTAATTTCCAAGCTTTCATGCATCTTGTTCTTAAATATGCAAATATTGATTTGAATTTTCAATGGAAAATGAGCTTTTATATGTAATTGGTGCAGAAAAGCCTGATGGCAAGCTCATTCCAGCTCATTATTAGTGGAAATAAACATTCCTGGAATTTTAGAGGTTGCAAATGAGTTTGTCACTGTAATCATCTTCCATTTGCTCCAGCATGGTAAGGGATGACCAAACAGCCAGTTATGAACAATTTCAAGAAAAGCAAACAATAAGCTATATAGCTCTCCACTTATCAATAATATTTTTCCTAACACACAGATTGTTTTAAGGAATATCTTTGTCATAATACTGCAATTTCATAGTTTTTATCAATGTTTTGTTTACCATTTAATCAAAGAACCATTGCTTATAGACCTGCCTTCCAAAAAAATGGCTCTTTCTTTCTGATTAATTTTACAATAAATTATTTCACAGAAAAGTTAAATTCTCTAATGCAGGATGGTGCACATTCAACCTGCTTGATATCCAGCTCCAAAGCCATATTGTCCTTAATGACTTTTACCTCCTTGCTTAGTACTGCAGCCTGTGAATTCATCTATGAAGACACTGGCAATATACCAGAATAAATGAGGACATTCTGTGTGCTTTGTCTCAGTCTCTACCTACAAAGACCATTAAGTTACGAAATGATGTGTTTAAATCTGTTATCACCAAGCAAAGAAGTATTAAATTATTATCCATTATGAACATTTTTACAGTCCTGATATTCAACATTTATAGATATTAAACTGTGGGCAGAAATGTTGAGGTGACCTATGTTTTCTAGTATAACCATCCAGAAAAATCAGTATAAAACTTTGGGAAAAAAAACTTTACAGTTGTTTTCACATAGAAAGAAGGTGACATAATTCTTTACAAGGGATCAAAATTAAGTACTTGTTAGATTGTTGAACTTGTTGTAAGAGTATTAGGGATATGAAGGTTTACTGAGCTCCAGGGATAACATATAATTAAAAGACTCTGCCAGGATTAAAAAAATAAAGTAAACTGACTGAGAAGGCAGGTTTGATAACAATCTATAAAGCTTAGCCATGGAGTGGTAAACAAAAAGTCACAATCTCCCCACAGGCAACCCTCACACCATGACATTCAGGAACGGTACTGAAATACTGGCACAGAATCTCATACATCTTTAGTGGCGAGAAAAAACGAGGCTAACAATAATCCCAGAAATGGTTAATCTCAATGGTCAATCATTTAACTTTATTCATCTAAAATGAGGTGTCTAATCTTTTTCAACGGAGGCCCTCGGCATTAAGAACAGTTTATCTCATCTGTTTTAGGACCCCTATTTTACAATGGCTGTTGTTCAGGTGAGAACTATTTCTCCATTGGCTGTAAAGGAAGCCGAAAGTGAGTAGTCCTGTCTAAGACCAAATCTAATTTTTCAATGGGTGAATAAGGGTGACTAAATCTATCCATGCAAGATTAGTCACAATTTACTGTTAGTAAAGCAATATGTTGAATGGATTTTCACCATGGATGTAGAGGTGTACCGTTGAGGGCTAGTTTCAGGACTCAGCAGTTTCCATTCATAGAATCATAGAATTGCCCAGGCCGGAAGGGACCTCCAAAGGCCATCTAGTCCGACCCCCCCGCAGTCAGCAGGGACACCCCCAACTAGACCAGGTTGCCCAGGGCCTCGTCGAGCCTCTCCTTGAATATCTCCAGGGAAGGGGCCTCAACCACCTCCCTGGGCAACCTGTTCCAGTGCTCCACCACCCTCACAGTGAAGAACCCTCTCCTCATCTCCAGTCTAAATCTGTTCCCCTCCAGCTTGAAGCCATTGCCCCTCGTCCTGTCACTACAGGCCTTTCTAAACAGGTTCTCCCCAGCCTTCCTGTAGGCCCCTTCAGGTACTGGAAGGCTGCTATTAGGTCTCCCCGGAGCCTCCTCTTCTCCAGGCTGAACAACCCCAGCTCCCTCAGCCTGTCCTCGTAGCAGAGGTGCTCCATCCCCCTGATCATCCTTGTGGCCCTCCTCTGGACCCTCTCCATCAGGTCCATGTCCTTCTTATATTGAGGGCTCCAGACCTGCACACAATACTCCAGGTGAGGTCTCACCAGAGCAGAGCAAAGTGGCAGAATCCCCTCTCTGGACCTGCTGGCAACGCAGCTTTTGATGCAGCCCAGGATGGGATTGGCCTTCTGGGCTGCAGCTGCCCACTGCCTGCTCATGTCCAGCTTCTCCTCCACCAGCACCCCCAAGTCCCTTTCCTCAGGGCTGCTTTCCAATCCCTCACCCCCTAGTTTGTATTGGTGGCGAGGATTGTTCCGGCCCAGGTGCAGAACCTTGCATTTGCTCTTGTTGAACCTCATGAGGTTCACCTGGGCCCACCTCTCCAGCCTGTCCAGGTCAGACATGCACGTAATAGATATACCTTTGTAGGGATTCGTGCTACACTGTAATAGAGAAAGGTCTGCAGTGATGCAGATACTGAATATCTGGTCTGGAGCAGTAAATTGCCATGACAATATGTGCATGTGTATCTGTGTGTGTCTCTGTATGTATATGTAAATTTGCAGATAGCCACCCTTTCCTGCCACTCAATATGCAAAGTGTAGATTCAGGAAAGGGCATAAAAATGCTGTAGAGTCCTTGTCAACTCAGTGCATTTCTCTTGACAGAAAAGCCTGATCAGTGCTGAGAACGAGGAGTGTATTCTGCATGTGGGGTTTAGGGCTGATGCCATGGGGAATTAGGAGATTATCTTTAGTGTTTGCATTACAGTACCATCTGGGACTACCAGGCTTCGAGCTGGAGCCTTCTGTGGCAAGTAACATGCAAACAGCCGGAAGGTATCTGCCCTGGATTTGATATAATTTAGATTAAAATACAAAGGACAGCAGATGGATATAGACAGAAAGAGGCTGGGAGCAAAGAAGGAGGGGAGGGTGTGGAGGAACAGTGAGACAATATTCACATTATTAACATTTTGTTACAGCGAAGGAGAGGCTTTCCAAGCAAAGTGAAGGAGAGTGACCTCATGACTTGCTGAATATTCATAAGTAACTGTCCCCCAACATGTCGAGGGGAGATCCTGAAAGTAAGTGTAAAGGTATTTTAAAATGCAAGCAACTAAGAGATAGGCATTGATGGTGTCAGATTGTGGGTTTAAAGCAAGGAAGAATGAGACCTCCTGAGAGATAATAGGTAACACGAACATAAGCTGTGTTGAGCTTTGAAAGTAACAACAGATTTTCCATGAGGTTCATTCAATTAGACAGAGATTATGCTAGTCAACACTCAACCAAATATGTTTCTTGCCACATAATTATAAATAAAATTATTTCTTGTCTTCAAATTACAAAAATCTTCAATAATTTTTTTTTTTTGTAATAGCTAATATGCAACAGGAATGGAATTATAAATCCCCAAAATTTTTAAAGCAATTCAGTTTTTTGATGACTTGTACAGTCAACAGCTACCATGCTCTGAAACTTGTTTTGAAGATATAGTTACATAATTGCAGGATACTTACCTGGGCACACTCCAATAGCTTCATTACAAAACAAGAGTCAAAACAGTAAAACCGTTTCAAAACTTATTGAATACCTGTTCTAGCCTTCAGGGGTCCTTTTTTCGAAAGCCTGACCATCTGAGAATCCATTTGCTGACCTTGAATTTGAAGTTGTTCCATCACTGCTAGATTTTGTGCCATTAACCAGTTATATCCTCAAGAACATCCTGCAACACAAGTGACACAAGGTATTTCAAAGCTGTTAGATAAGGGGATCCAAGGCATTAAAAGCTTGGGGCTAAATTTTTAAACCATGCCTCTCCTATGTGCTTGGACCATTTTGACATACACAGTTATGCACATCCAAAAAAGGGAATACACTAAAGACCCTTCAGAAAATTATAACATTAATTATAAAATTATAGCATTGCTCCTGGGGAGGCAGGGGTGAGCTTCTGATCTCAGTTCTGCAAGTAAAGCAGTAGATAGAACATAGAATATCTAATATAGAATAAAATACAAAGAATTAGCTGCTCCTGCAGAAAAATTAGTCTGATTAATAAAACTGAAATGTCAAGTTATTTAAGATTAATACACGTTTATCTTTCCCTGGCATTATCAACACTAGTTCAAACAGTGAAAGCACTGGAATTTGTTTTAGGTAGTATTTGCCCTTACTTTAAACTGAAAAGGAAATTAAATTAATATTGTGTTGTGGAGTGCAGTTATCTTTTACAGGTGAGCAAGGAGGGAAGGCTTTGGATCTCATGGGGGACTTCAATCACCCTAATATCTGCTGGGAAGGATACACAGCCAGGCGTGTAGAGTCTGGGAGGTTCCTCCAGTGTATTGATTATAACTTCCTGACTTGGGTGTTAGAGGAGCCAATAAGGATAGGTGTACTACTGGACCTAGTTCTCACAAACAAAGAGGGACTGGTGGAGGACATTAAGGCTGGGAGTAGCCTTGGCTGTAGTGACCATGAAAAGGTGGAGTTCAGAATCATGGGTAGTACACGTAAAACAACAAGTAGGATTGTAACTGTGGACTTCAGGAGGGCTAACTCTGACCTCTTCGAGAAACTGCTTGGAGAAATCCCATGGGTTTCAACTCTGGAAGGCAGGGGGGCTCAAGAGAGCTGGTTGATATTCAAATACCTCTTTCTCCAAACTCAGGATCGGTGCATCCCTAAGAGCAAAAAATAAGGCAAGGGAAGCAGGAGACCTGCATGGTTGAGCAGGGAACTTCTGAAAAAGCTCAAGTGGAAGAAGGAAGTTTACAGTGCATGGAAGAAAGGGTTGACCACTTGGAAAGATTACAAGAATGCTGTTAGAGTATGCAGGGGTGAAACGGGAAAAGCCAAGGTCTCTTAAAACTGGCAAGGGATATCAAGGTCAACAGGAAGAGTTTCTTCAAGTATATCAGAAGCAAAATGAAAACCAGAGAACATGTGGGCCCATTTTTGAATGAGACAGGTGCCATGGTGACAGAGGATGCAGAGAAGGTAGAGTTGCTGAATGCCTTCTTTGCTTCAGTCTTTTATGATCAGCCCAGCCCTCAGGAGTCCCAGACTTCGGAGGTAACAGACACAGTCTGGATGAAGGAAGACTTGCCCTTGGTTGAGGAAGATCGAGTTAGAGATCAGTTAAGTAAGCTGGATATTCGCAAGTCCATGGGTCCTGATGGGACTCACCTGCGAGTGCTGAGGAAGCTGGCAGAAGTCATTGCTGAGCCACTCTCCATCATCTTTGAAATGTCCTGGAGAACAGGCAAGGTGCCTGAGTACTGGAGGAAAGCCAATGTCACTCCAGTCTTCAAAAAGGGGCAAGAAGGAGGACCTGGGAAACTACAGGCCAGTCAGCCTCGCCTCCATGCCTGGAAAGATGATGGAACAGCTCGTTCTGGCCGTCATCTCAAAGCATATGGAGGAAAAGAAAGCTATCAGAAGTAGTCAGTACAGATTCACCAAGGGGAAATCATGTCTGACTAACCTGATACCCTTCTACGATGGCATGACCAGTGATGGATATTGTCTACCCTGACTTCAGCAAGGCTTTTGACACTATCTCCCACGGCATCCTCATAGATAAGTTTAAGAAGTGTGGGTTAGATGAATGGACAGTGAAGGTGGATTGAAAACTGGCTGAAAGACAGAGCTCAGAGGGTCATGATTAGTGACACAGGGTCTAGTTGGAGGTCCATAACAAGTGGTGTTGCCCAGGAGTCAGTACTGGGTCCAATCCTGTTCAATATTTTTATCAATGATTTGGATGGAGGGATAGAGTGCACCCTCAGCAAGTTTGCTGATGATACAAAACTGAGAGGGGTGGCTGACACACCAGAAGACTGTGCCACCATCCAGCAAGACCTGGACAGGCTGGAGAGCTGGGCAGAGAGGAACCTGATGAATTTCAACAAAGGCAAGTGTAGGGTGCTGCACCTGGGGAGGAATAACCCCCTGCACCAGGACAGGGAGAGGGTGACCTGCTGGAGAGCAGCTCTGAGGAGAAAGACCTGGGAGTCGTGGTGGACAACAGGATGCCCATGAGCCAGCAATGGGCCCTTATAGCCAAGAATTCCAATGGCATCCTGGGGTGCATCAAAAAGGGTGTAGCATGTCCATCTTGAAGAACTTGCTGGACATCACTTGATGAAGCTAGCTCAGGTTTCATCACCACTATGTTATCCTGAAAAACACTTATTGAATAATGTTAGTGCTATGAAACAATTAACACTGTACAGCTCAGAACTGAGTATTCTCACTAAGGGTTAAATTTCCTTGAGGCACACATTGAATTTCTCCATTCTCTGGCATCACCACCAAGTACATCCAGGTCCTTGGGTAAAAACAGTCCCATGAATGTGTTTGCTTTTGCCTGAAGTAGGAAAAACCCAAACCATTTTCCTCAACATATTCTTTTCATGCACCACAGGGACTTTATCCCCTTCTACATTATGTAAAAGGTCTGATTGAGCAAGACCAGCTCTATTGATGGATCCCCTGGTGTTAACTAACCAGGTAGCTTGTGCTAAAAGCTTGTCCCGATTTTTGAAGGTTCCACCCCCCACTGCTTTCAGGGCGGTTTTCAATAGTCCATTGTATCACTCAGTTTTCCCAGAAGCTGGTACATGATAGGGAAAATGATATACCCACTCAATGCCATGTTCTTTTGCTCAAGTACTTGTAAGATTGTTTTTGAAACGAGTCCATTGTCTGAATCAATTCTTTCTGGAGTACCATGTCACCACAAGACTTGATTTTCAAGGACCAGGATGGTATTCCGGGCAGTGGCATGGGGTATGGCATAGGCTTCCAACCATCCAGTGCTCGCTTCCACGATGGTAAGCACATAGCGCTTACCCTGGCGCGTTTGAGGGAGCGTGATGTAGTCTATTTGCCAAGCCTCTCTGTACTTATATTTCAGCCATTGTCCCCCATGCCACAAAGGTTTTAACGTTTTAACTTGCTTGATTTCAGCACAGGTTTCACAATCACTGAATTTTCACTGAATTTCACTGAATTTCTAGAGTTGGAAGGGACCATAGAGATCATCTAGTCCAACTCCCCTGCTGAAGCAGGATTGCCCAGAGCTAGAGCATGTTACTCAGGAGCATCCAGGCGGGTCTTGAAAATCTCCAAAGAAGGGGACTCCACACCCTCCCTGGGCAGCCTGTCCCAGGGCTCTGCCACCCTCACCGTGAAGAAGTTTCTCCTCATATTTGAGTGGAACCTCTTATGTTCCAACTTGTGCCCGTTGCCCCTCGTCCTCTCGGTGGGAACCGCTGAAAAGAGTCTGGCTCCCTCCTCCTTCAACCCTCCCTTGAGATACTTGTAGGCGTTGATAAGGTCTCCCCTCAGCCTTCTCTTCTCCAGACTAAAGAGTCCCAGCTCTCTCAGTCTCTCCTCATAAGGGAGATGCTCCAATCCTTGAATCATCTTTGTAGCCCTACGCTGGACTCTTTCCAGTAGTTCCCTGTCCCTCTTGAACTGGGGAGCCCAGAACTGGATACAGTACTCCAGTTGTGGCCTCACCAGTGCAGAGTAGAGGGGGATAACCTGCGCAGTAGTGTCCATGGTTAAATCCACCCCTCGGTCATGGGCCCATTTGTATATTGCAAATGTATGTTACTTCCTTGATGACCTGAAGTATCAAGGGCCCACCAAGCTAAAAATAGTTCACCTTTATGTTCCCAGTCTAGATCTGTCTGGAAAACCTTAACAGCCTGCTCCATTTGCTTATTGTTTTGATGTTCTTCAGTGGCTCAACTCATGGGTACGTGGGCATCTACATGATGTACCTTTATGACTAGTTTTCCTAGCTGGTCAGCAATATCAGCTGGTCAGCCACAATTCAGCAGCCCAGATGGGTTTACCTCTGAGCTGCCAGTTTTTCTGCTTCCACTGTTTTAAGCATCCCCACAGAGCATTTGCCACCATCCATGAGTCAGTGTGGAGATAGAGCATTGGCCACTTTTCTTGTTCAGCAATATCTAGGGCCAGCTGGATAGGTTTTACCTCTGCAATTTGACTCGTTTCACCCTCTCCTTCACTCACTTCTGCAACTCATCGTGTAGGACTTCACACAGCAGCTTTCCACTTCTGATATTTTCCTACAATATGACAAGATCCATCAGTGAACAGAACATACTGTTTTTCATTATCTGAGTTCATTATATGGTGGGGCCTCCTTGGCGTGTTACCACCTCCTCTGGTGGCTTTGTGAAGTCTGTCTTCAAGCCAGTTTGTGATCACTTCTATGATTCCTGGATGATTTGGGTTTCCTATTGCAGCTCGCTGTGTGATTAAGGCAACCCACTTACTCCAGGTACCATCGGTGGCATGATGAGTAGAAGCAACTTCACCCTTGAACATCCAACCCAGCACTGGCAATTGAGGTGCTAACAGGAGCTGTGCTTCAGTACCAGTTACCTCTGGAGTGGCTCTAACTCCTCCATGTGCTGCCAATATTTCTTCCTCACTTGGAGTATAGTTGGCTTCAGATCCCCTGTATCCCAGTCTCCAAAATCCTAGGGGTGAACCTCAAGTGTCCCTTGGTGCTTTCTGCCAGAGGCTCCAGGTAGGGCCATTGTCTCCGGCTGCAGTGTAGAGCACATTTTTAATGTCCTGCACTGTTCAGAGTGGTCCAAGTGTGACTGCTGTCTTGTTAAATTTGCTCGAAGGCTTGTTTTTGCTTAGGACCCCACGTAAACTCATTTTTCTTTTGAGTCACTTCATGGAGAGTTTTCATAATTTGACTACAACCTGGAATATACAGTCTCCAGAAACCCACAACGCCTAAGAAGGCTTGTGTTTCCTTTTTGTTAGTAGGCGGGGACATAGATGTTATTTTGTTAATCACAGCCATTGAGGTCTGTTGATGCCCATCTTGCCATTTAACTTGTAAGAACTGGATCTCTCGTGCAGGTCTCTTGATCTTACTTCTTTTTATAGCAAAACCTGCTTTCAAAAGAATCTTGATTATTTTCTCACCTTTCTTGAAAACTTCTTCTGATATACTACCCCACACCATGATATCATCAATCTACTACAGGTGTTCTGGAGCTCCAGCCTTCTCCAGTGCAGTCTGGATCAGTCCACAGCTGTGTTTCCACCCCCAGGGCAGTTGGTTCCAGGTGTACTGAACACCCCTCCAGGTGAAAGCAAACTTGGCTGCTAAAGCAATAGAGAAAAATGCATTAACAATGTCAGTTGTAGCGTACCATTTGACTGCCTTTGACTCCAGTTCATACTGGAGTTCTAGCATGTCTGACAGCAGCACTCAGCGCTCGTCAGGTCATGACAGGCTACTGTTAGCAGCCAGCCTCTGCCAGATTTTCACACTGGCCATACAGGACTGTTAAAAGGTGAACCAGTCTTGCTGATCACTCCTTGGGTCTTCAGCTGACAAATCAGGTTCTGGATGGGAATCAGGGAGTATGGGTCAGCATGATACTATTGCTGATGCACCCTGGCAGTAGCAAGTGGCACCTGCTGCTCTTTAACCTGAAAGGAGATCAAAGGAGATCTTCTTCCCCCTCTGCTCTGCCCTGGTGAGGCTGCATCTGGAGTACTGTGTCCAGTTCTGAGCTCCTCGGGTCAAGAAGGACAGGGAACTTCTGGAGAGGGTACGGCAAAGAGCTATGAAGATGATTAGTGGTCTAGAACAACTCTTATGAGGAAAGGCTGAGGGACTTGGGTCTTTGTAGTTGGGAGAAAAGAAGACTGAGGGAGGAACTTATCAATTCTTATAGTGTGAGTGTCAAGAGGATGGGGCTGGTCTTTTTCAGTGGTGCCCCATAACAGGACAATTAGGTAACGAGCACAAACTTGAACATAGGAAGTTCCATCTAAACATGAGGAGAAACTTCTTTACTTTGAGGGTGGCAGAGCCCTGGCAGAGGCTGCCCAGGGAGGGTGTGGAGTCTCCTTCTCTGGAGACATTCAAAACCTGTCTAGACACGTTCCTGTGCAACCTGCTCTGGGTGGACCTGCTTTGGCAGGGGGGTTGGACTAGATGATCTCCAGAGTTCCCTTCCAACTCATATCATTCTGTGATTCTGTGAAATAAGGAATTTAACAAGGGCAATGAAGACTAACGAAGGCAATGAAGACTTAGCTGTCTCTGGTGTGAAAAGAGTATGTGGCTTTAACTAGTTTTGCAATATCGGAGTTTCTGGGAAGAAGCAGATGAGGTCTATAGGCTTGCTGTTGATCAGAGT